GATTCACTCCCCAAGTGACCACAATGGCTGGTGCTGAGCCAGTACGAAGCCAGAAGCCCAGATCCTCTTTCGATCTCCCACACGACGAGTACAGGGTCCCAAGGCTTTGGGCTGTACTCAACTGCTTTCCCAGGCCACAAGCAGGGAGATGGAATGGAAGCGGGGCTGTCGGAATTAGAACCAGCGCCCATATAGGATAAATAAAGCGGACAGCTTTCCCACATTGTCCATTATGATCATGAAATCCTAGTGGTCCGTCTCTTTCTTTCCTCTTTGTGCCTCATCCACGCACCCTTCGAGTTCCGAACTCAGCTGGAGCAGGACTCCGGCAAATCCATGTGTTCTTTGCCTTTCATTAGGTTCTCATTGCGTAAGATCAGCAAAATTATGTACTTGTTTTTATGCTTTTTTTGTGTTTCTGTTTTAAATGTATTTGAGTAATCAGTTTATGTCTAATTAATCTGATCTATATTGTGTCATGTAAAGAGATTCTATTTGAACCAGTTATTTTAAGCCTTCTTGGCATCCTTGACAGGCATTCAAAAACCCCAAAAGTTTCAACTTTTGGCATTTTGATATTTGCAGTAAGGTCTCCTGCAAATGTCAAAGGATTTGTCTTTCATTTTGTAGAGATAACAATTGATTAGGCTATTTGGACTACATTAACAGTAATGTCAAGGTGCAAGCAGCACAGAATTTTACTGTGTCGGAGTACTCCAACTGCACAGGTCTGGTGATCTTTTGTGTTGTCGGTAATGGTTGTTGTCTCCATTCAAAAAAGATCTAAAAATGACACCTTTTTTATACAATCTTGTATGTGCTTCCTAGGACGAGCAGATACGAATGTTATGCTTCCAGCCATACCTGTTTGAAAACTTTAAAATCTGTTTAACTATATCAACCAAGCTAATCATGTTCTTCTGTTTTTGCTAATGTATAATGTAAGTTAATTGTAAACCTGTACTCTTATCTCAAATTTATAGCAGACACCCACGTCATCCTCACTTCTTCACATGAGGAATTGATTCACATCCTGCAGGCAGTTAGACACTATGTGGACCAACAATGCCTCACTGACATCTAGACCCTCCCTCCAGGGGTTTAGGCAGTCCCTGACATGCCCCCAGGCTGGGAGTATCAAGAAGGCCAACAAGGCCGCCACAACATGGCCCTTGTGGTCCAATACCTCCTGGCAGGCATGCACAGTCTCTAATAAGGTGGTCAAGTTTAATAAATTGCAGGAGGTCACGCAGGGCTCAGACTTGAATAAACATTTGACACTTTCTGGACAGGTTGACTGAGGCTCTTATTAAATATACTAAGTTAGACCTTGAGTCTCCCTCGGGGGCCACAGTTTTGGCAACCCATTTCATTTCCCAGTTTGCCCTAAATATAAAAAAAAAAAAAAAAAAGAAAAAAAAAGAAAAAACAAACCCTCAAACGGGCAGAAGACTGGTAAAGAACCAAGAACTGGTAAAAATGACATTTGGAGTCTACAACACTCATGAGGAAATGGCTGAAAAGCTGAGATAGGCAAAGCTGCATAAAAAGGTCACTCTCCAGTCCCAGGCATTGGTAGTGGTCTTACACCCAGCTGTGCCTTGTGGGACCCAGGCACCACCAGGAGCCTATTTTAAATGCAGGCAAAAGGGACACTGGTCCCCACAATGTCCAAACCCGCGCCCTCACAAGCCTACAGAGCGATGTCCACACTATAGGCAGATGGGACACCAGAAATCAATTGCCCAGTGTGGAGGGCTGGTGCTACGCCTCTACGAGGTGCTGTCCCCTCCCACCCCGGGCAGTCCTGCCAACCCAACCGACGCCTGAACCTATGGGACTGACCAAAGATTAGCAGGGCCTGGGGACAGATAACCCCATCACCCTGACTGAAGCACAGTGTCTTGATTAAGATAGCAGGTAAGTCCATCTGTTTTCTGGTGGACACGAGGGCTACCAATTCCGTGTTGCCTGCCCATTCTGGCTGTACGTATTCTTCCCAGATCTTGGTTATGGGTATTGATGGAACTCCTTCCAAACGATGACAGGCCGCTTGCCGTGCTCCCTAAGGGAATACCTTTCACACATTTTTGTTTTCTGGTTATCCTGTCCTTCCCCACCCTCTTGTTGGGACTTGACATCTTGTCCACATTGGGTACCTCTCTCAATCTACTCAGGACACAGCCTCTGTTAACGTCACTGGAGTATAGCCAGTCAGATGAGTCATGACCTCTACCTTCTTCCAAGGTTGTCCCCTCAGGTTTGGGACACCTCCACACCAATTATGGGTACCCATCATGAGCCTGTTCAGATATCCCTCAAACCAGATGTCCCCTATCCCTCTAGACCTCAGTTCTACAAGAATTACACCCTCCCTCGTGCCATCTTATGTCTGGACCTAGCTGATAGGGACCTGACCCGACTCCCTCATTAAGATCCTCACAGAGCATAATTATGACTTCACTATCATGGCCAAGCAGGAGATCCTGTGTGACATCAAGGAGAGAGTGTACTAGGTTACCCTTCAAACAGGAGATAGTCATGGCTGCATCCTGCTCCTCACTGCAAAAGAGCTACGAGCTGCCCAACGGTCAGGTCATCACCATCGGCAATGATCGCTTTCATTGCCCTGAAGAGTTCTTCCAGTCCTCCTTCCTGGACATGGGGTCAGTCGTACAACATCCACGAGACAACTTTCAATTCCAGTCCTCTTAGGTTGACCTACTCCCTTGGACTCAACGCCGCCCATGGTAAGGCCCTTGGACTAAGCCCCTTCGAACTTATGTATGGCGACCCTTCTTAATCACCCACCGATTCCTCACCAAACCTCCTCCTTTAACTATTTACTGTACCTTACTCTTGTTCATAAGCTTCTCCAAAAACACACAGACCAGTGCCTTCTAAACCCTGATCTGAACTAAGTGGGGGACCCTGACGTCTCCCCTCTCCAACCAAAAGACTCTGTTAACCTCAGGACTCTTCATCCTGACTCACTCCAGCGGATGTGAACCGGACCTCGTTTGATAATCCTCACCACACCCACAGCAGCCAAGCTCCTTGGCCACACCTCTTAATTCATGAAAAAAAAAAAAAAAGTTTGTGCCAATCCGGAGCCAGGAGGCAGGAGGCAGGAGCCAGGATCTTCCTCCAGGTCTCCCACGCGGGTGCAGGATTCCAAAGCCTTGGGCCGTCCTCCACTGCTTTCCCAGGCCACAAGCAGGGAGCTGGATGGGAAGTGGAGCTGCCAGGATTAGAACTGGCACCCATATGGGATCCCCGGGCGCGTTCTAGGTGAGGACTTTAGCAGCTAGACCACGCCGCCGGGCCCCCACCCCTATATTCCTATACCCACAGAACCTCCTCCGGACCTCACATTCAGACTACACCCCTCCTCAATGGGAAGTAGAGAAAACGACTTTGTTGCCTCTTTCCCTATCACCAAGAGGCCAGAATGATGGCTGCTGCAGGTGCAGGAGCGGGGCTGGACTTACTTCAGACCCAACTTGTCACTCCAGCCTCATTCCGGAACCAGAAACGGCCGCCGAGCCAGACACATCATGGGACTAGCAGGGCTCCAGCTGGACAATGATGAGCCTAAGCTGACACTCCTTACTAATTAGGACTTAAACAGTCTGTGGCAGCCTCTGTGTTGGAAGGGGTATAAGCCCCTCTCGTGCGTCCTTCTGCCTGCCTTTGTTTCCTTGCAATTCCTCAGATCTCTCTCCCTTCTCTTTCCCACTATGCGGGGGACGGGGGGAGACCCCGAGGACAGATCTCAAATAAAAACCTCTGTGCATCTGTTTTTTTCACAAGTGGCTAATGTTTTCTTTTCATAGGTGGTCGGCAAATCTAACCTTATACATGTAATTCTTGGATATTGGTGTTTCGTTCTCATTTCTTTGAATAAGAAAGGCAGCCAGACCTTACACTGCCTCATTTCGGGTATCTAAGCTTCTGATCCAGAAATCTCATTTCCAAATCCCCAGAAGAAAATTTACAGAGTCGCTTTTCAAAGTCACGAGCTCACTTGGGGAACTGATTCAGGAGGGAAAAGGACAGAAAGGAGAACTTTGAATGTGCAAAGCAAAAAAGAAGAGGAAGAAGTTAGAGACCCCGCAGGCTTTTGATGCTCCCTGGAAGAGCCCCCAGGCTAAGGCTTGGGAGCTGGTCCGCCGTGGCCTTGGCCTCTCGGGGCGGGGCCCTCACGTTAGCACCGCCGATTAAAGACCTGGTCTCTAACTGTGAACTAACTACTTAACAAACGGAAAGCAGGTGCCGAGCCCAGCTGCAATGCTTCTTGTACGCAGATTTTTCTGAACAACAATGGCTGCCGTTTCAGAACCTATTCTAGATCGGAAAGTTTGAGACAGGGTTTGGGGTCCCCTGCTAGACTTCTCAACCTCCCCTCTCGGCTCAAGTCCTCCAAGAAACGGCCTTCGGTCTCCCTTCTTCAGGTCTCCCTCAGGCGTCCCTTCCTCAGCTCCTGCGTCAGCCTCTCCCTGGGCCGGGCCTGGTCTCTTTCCCTCCTCTCGTCCTCCATTCTCTCACGCCGGCGGGCGGCCGGCGCCCACCCCGCGGGGCACAGCCCCCCCAGCTCCCGGGCTCAGCCGTTAGAGGGGGCGTGGCCCGCGAGTAACAGGTCTCTGCCCCCCACCTCTGCGCGGGCCCGCGCCCAGACAAAGACATTCCTCTGCCCCCGCCCCCTCGGCGCTCCGGGCCAGAAGGGGGAGGAGACACGTGTCCAGCCAGCGCCGAGTCACGTGGGACAGAAAAAAAACGAACGCCCCACCCCCCACCCCGCCCGCCGGCGCACGCGCACCACGCTCAGGCCGGGCGGACTCCGAGGGAAAAGAGGGGCGGGGAGGCGACGGGTTCGGACGCCGCGGCAATGCGCAGGCGCCGTGGCCCCACTAGGGACTTTGTTCTTCGCGGAGAAACCCAAAGGCGGTGCCGGCGTTTGATGCGCACGCGCAGCGCCTCACTTCCGGTGCTCGCTCGCTCTCTCGCTGGGTCGCTCGGGTCGGCTTCGGTCGCCGTCGCTCCCGCTCTCCCACCCCCGCCAACTGCTGCTCGGGCCTCGGCCGCTGCCGCGTCAGCCCCTCGCTCGTTTCAGCGTTCCTCCTGCTCGATGCAGCGTCGGGACGACCCCGCCGCGCGCAAGACCCGGTCCTCGGGTCGCAGCGGCTCCATGGACCCTTCAGGTGTCCACCCCTCGGTGCGTCAGACGCTGTCTCGACAGCCGCCGCAGCCTCTCCGGTCCCGGGGAGGCGGAGGGGCCAGCCGGGGGAGCGGCAGGGCCAACCCCGCCACGCAGCCGCCGCCGCTGCTGCCGCCCTCGGCCACGGGTCCCGACGCGACAGTGGGTGGTCCGGCGCCGACCCCGCTGCTGCCGCCGTCCGCCACGGCCGCGGGCAAGATGGAGCCGGAGAACAAGTACCTGCCCGAACTCATGGCCGAAAAGGACTCGCTCGACCCGTCCTTCACTCACGCGATGCAGCTGCTGACGGAAGGTGAGCGGGCCCCGGGGGCCGTGGGTGGGCAGCGGCTTTTGTTCGCTTCGCATCCCGCCCCTTCCAGGCCCCAGGGCCGCTCGGCGGGTCCCCCCTCCTTCCCTCCCCGGCGCAGGGGTGGAGGGGCGAGGGAGCATTGTTAGCTTGTCTCGGGGAGCAGAGAGCGACTTGGCCATCTCCGCGCGCCCAGCTCCCCGCCCCCTGTCCCTCCCTCCTTCCGTCTCGCAGCTCGGACGGCTCAGATTCTTCCAGAAATGAACCTTTATCTCCCTGCCCCCGCTCTCGCCCCCGTTCCTCCCAAGGGGGAAGACTGTGGGGTCGCGCCGGTGATGCCGAGCACCTCCACTGGAGACGGCCCGAGCCCGGCGGGCCTTGGGGGAGGCCGGAGGGCCCTGTCCAGCGCGCGGGCCCGGCCGGAACCGGGAGTTAACTTGTGGGAGCGTCAGGAGCGACTTGTGGGATTCGGAGCTTTCAAGGTTCTCGCTGTCAGCTCTCCCCAACCCGGGCGAAGGAAAATAACATCGTGGAGAACCCTGAAGGGGGTTGCCTTTTGATTTCGCACCGTGCCTTCGCTGTCTTCCCAGGATCGGGGAAGTCAGGTTAGGGACCCTGCTGAGACGAGTTGATGGGAGTGGGAAGGGACTGCAGGGTCGCCCCCAAGACGGTGTCCGCCGAGGTGGACAGACGTGGGGAGAAGCTGCACCACGCTTGTCCGTGCAAGGCTTGGTCTTTTGTGGTTTTGCTTCTTGCTTTCGTCGCGAATTAAACAAGGAACCGGAGTCTTTGTTCTCTGCAGGCAGAGCTCCGTTCCTCGCCAGCACTGCTCAGTCCCCTGGTCCCCTTGTCCTTCTGACTTCCCACGACAGCCTCCTTTTGGCCTCTTGTCATCAAAACGTTCTTTTTTTAAAAAAAAGATTTATTTTTATTGCAAAGTCAGATACACAGAGAGGAGGGGAGACAGAGAGGAAGATCTTCTGTCCGCTGATTCACTCCCCCAGTGGCCGCAACGGCCAGAATAGAGCTGATCTGAGGGAGGAGCCAGGAGCCTCTTCCGGATCTCCCACGCGGGTACAGGGTCCCAAGGCTTTGGGAATTCTTTATTGCCTTCCCAGGCTACAAGCGGGGAGCTGGATGGGAAGTGAGGCCACGGGATTAGAACCGGCATACAGCGCGTGTAAGGTGAGGACTTTAGCCGCTAGGCTATTGCATTGGGCCAGCCAACGCTTCTTTTAAGAAGTGTTTAGTGAACCTGTTACAGTAACAATTCACAGCCCTCCACACTGACATTGACAAGGTTGTTAGAAGGGATGTTTCATTAGCAACATCTCCTTTCCCTCCCTTTGTTCTCTCTGCCAACACTGGTAAGAAAGCTCTTCTGAATGCAATTAACAAAATGCACAGTTGGTTGAGAATTAGAAAAATTCTGTTTAACTCAGTGCTATGCTGTCCTATAACTTATTCACGTTGTTAGAAATGTTATTTTTGCTTGTGTTTCTCTGACCAGCTCGTTGAGAGCAAGGATTTTTTTCAAATGTTTTTTGTACTGTCTTGCGCGTGGCAAGCACCAGGTGTTTGAAAGGACACGCGTACAGATCTGCCTAATTGGTAAAGGTTGATTTGGCAGTCTTAGTGTTATTCCTTGAAATCTTAAGTCAGTATAGAAAAATGCATAAGAATGGAGTGCAGTGTGGAGCTCAGCGGGGCTGACTTACTTTTCGAAAAGGTGACCACTAACTAGCTACCTGCTGTGGGGGAAACCATCTGAGCCATGACCCTCACCTCTAAGGTTGGAATGGTCAGTTTGGAAAATTGAATGACCTGTAAAGTCACTAGCAGTTTCTTATCTGTAATCATTAGGCAAAGGCTAGTCACATTTTTCTTCTAATTATGAATCCATAGATTTGAAACAAACTGTGAGAGAACGCAAGACACATATTTTGATCCTTGGTTACCTCCGTTGCCCAGTGACATTCATCATTTTTTTTTTAAGTTGAGAAGCATGTATGTATGTATGTATGTATTATTGGAAAGGCAGTTCAAATTTTTGGGGAGAAGGAGAAACACAGAAAGCTCTTACATATGCTGGTTCACTTCCCAAATGACTGCAATGGGCTGATCTAAAGCCAGGAACCAGAACCTTCTTCCGAGTCTCCGGTGCAGGGTCCCAGGGCTTTGGGCGGTCCTCTGCTTCTTTCCTAGTTCACAGGAAAGGAACTGGATGGAAAGCGGAGCAGTCAGGGTATAAACCCGCGCCCATGTGGGATCCCAGCATTTACACAGTGAAGATTAAGTCACTGAGGCTTCACACCAGGTCCAGTATTCATCTTTTTTTTTTCCCCCTTTATTTTTGACAATCTTTACATAGTTGATAAGAGCACAAAGGGTCAAGGACTACAGAAAAGTGGGTAAGACTATTATTTCAACATTTTTTATTTATTTTCTGTAAATGGGGAGATAAAGGGAGAAGCTCCACCCGGCCTCCCGCCCATCCCAGGTCCCCGATGTGAGGCCATGCTCTGAGGGTCTTCCTCTCCACGGAAATCTTTAGTAAAAGGTGACAGATTTATACGATTTGAAGAGAAACCAAAGTATGCTCTGAGGGTCTTGCTTAAGTGGTTTTGTTAGTTCAGCAGTTCTGAATTGCTGCCAGTCTCACCATTCCAAGCACAATGAGTTCACTGCAGAATCCACGGACTGACATAGACCACCTTAGAGTCTCCGTTTGTCCAGATTTTCACTGCTAACCTATGGCTGGGGTAGTTAATTGATTTGTTCTGTCGTCCGTCCTCTGTTATGATGCCAGGTATCCTCTGCAGCTTCCGATGGACTGCCATATCCTCCATGTGCACCTGGATATGCTGTTCACTGCTCTGTCTGAGCCTCTGAAGAGGCTTGGCTCTGATACTTGGCACTCAGTGGCAGAAGTATTCATCTTTTAAAGGGTGGTTTTAGGATAACTATTAAGAGTCATTCATTGAGCGCCCAGCAGGGTGGCATAATGGCTAAAAGTCCTTGCCCTGAATGCGCCAGGATCCCATATGGGTGCCGGTTCTAATCCTGGCAGCTCCACTTCCCATCCAGCTCCCTGCTTGTGGCCTGGGAAAGCAGTAGAGGATGGCCCAAAGCCTTGGGATCCTGTACCCACATGGGAAATCTGGAGGAAAGTTCCTGGCTCCTGGCTTGGGATTGGTGCAGCACCAGCTATTGTTACCTGGAGAGTGAATTGTTGGACAGAAGATCTTCCTGTTTCTCTTCCTCTCTGCATATTTGACTTTGCAATAAAAATAAGTAAATCTTTTTTTTTTTTTTTAAAGAATCATTCATTGATTGGGCCCTGGCATGATGGCTCAGGCTAAATTTTTGCCTTCTATGCACCGACATCCCATGTGGGTGCTGGTTTGTGTCCTGGCTGCTCCACTTCAATCAGGCACCCATTGGAAGACCTGGAAGAGGCTCCTGGCTCCTGACTTTGAATCAGCTGAGCTCTAGCCTTTGCAGTCACTTGGAGAGTGAACTAGCAGCAGTCGAGATCTTTGTCTCTCCTCTTTACAAATCTGCCTTTCCCATAAAAATAAATCATTTTTAAAAATCATTGATCGTTAACTGTTACAGTAGTTGCATTCTTTTACTGTGCCTTAGTTTTTTAAGCAAATGAATGCTAATTTTTTTTTAATATTTATTTTTTTTATTGGAAAGTCAGATTTACAAAGACAGAGAGGAAAATCTTCTGTTGAACGATTCGCTCTCCCAAATGGCCGCAGTGGCCGGAGCTGAACTGGTCCAAAGCCAGGAGCCAAGACCTTCTTCCTGGTCTCCCATATGGGTGCAGGGTCCCAAGGCTTTGGGCTGTCCTCAACTGCTTTCCCAAGCCCCAAGCAGAGAGCTGGAAGGGAAGCAGGGCTCCCGGGATACAAACCAGTGCCTCTGTGGGATCCTGGCTTATGCAAGGTGAGAACTTCAGCCACTAAGCTACTGCTCCAGGCTTTGCCCCTTAATTTTTTTAATGTAGGGTGTGTTAATGTATTTTTTTTAACCAATCAAAAAATGTTTAAAAAAGAATTGGATTGTATGGATAGTTTTTTTTTTTTTATGAAAAATAATTTTAATTTGAAAGGCCGATTTAGGGGAGAGGACAGAGAGAATTTTTTCATTCATTGATTTATGTCCCAAATTGCTGGAGATAAGCTAATAAACTAGGAACCAGGAGCTGCTCTGGGTTTCCCACGGGTGCCAGGTCCCAAGGCCTTGGGCCATCCTCCAGTGCTTTCCTAGACCTTAAGCAGGAAGTGGTATGGGAAGTGAAGCAGCCCTGTGGATGCTTCCTAACATAGAACAGTTTTGATGTATGTTGAGTCTGGTTTTTTTTTAAGTATTTTTGGAGAAGGTATACTACAGTGAAGTGAACCAATTGTGAAGAAATAAAACCAAAGAGAAATAATAGTATTTAATCCTTGACAAGAACATTTATTTAAAAAGTAGAGCTGATATTTCTTGTGGCAGGGGCTAAACTGAGTGCTTTACATTACATATTTGACCTTATGACAACACTAGGAACACTGCTTGCAGTGTTGGTCTCACTTTTGCGGATGAGGAAAACAAACTAAAAAAAAAAAAGATATAAATGGTTTATTTAAGGTAGCAATTATTAAGCTGCGTAGTCAGAATTTAAAGTCCACGTGATTCTGCAACCGTACCCTAATACCCTTTCTGTCCTCCCACTATAATGCCTGCTCCAAGTTGTAAGCTCTGATTGAACAAAATATTACAGGAAGATCTGCTGGAAAACTTTAGAGCAATAACAGGGCAAGATGAGAACAGGGCACAGTCGAAAACCTAGCACAGAGCACTGGGCTGGGATCCTCTAGCTCCTCTGCCCTTTCCTGCGTGGGGGCCCTGCAGCTCGCACCAGCCGCCGCTCCCTTTGCCCCGTCCCAGTGTTACTTCCTTTTGCACTTAACAGTATCTGGTATACTATGTGTTTTACGCATGCATTCGCCTAT